CTACAGCCTTGCTCTATACTGCCAGAGCCAGACCAACCATTAGTCATGGATAATACGCCTAAGGGTCACCTATTTCAAACACCTGAAGCCTTGGTGGTGAAAGTGGCTCAACTCAGGGATCCGGTGGTGTAGACTCCAGGAGCTGAACAGCAGGAAGGCCCCTGTTTCAACATGTGAAGATGAATTAGGAAAGACAACTCCAAAAGTATGCAGCTTTTAAAGTTTAAAACAAAGTGTTGTAACTGAGTCAAACAAATCAGTCTGCCTTTTAGAACAAGAAACCTCACAGGTACCATTTGGTGACAAAAAAAAATAAATAAATAAACAAAAGTAGACACATGTGATGTATAAAGTGGTTGAACTTCATAGCAGCACAATTCACCATAGCTAAGATTTGGAAACAACCTAAGCGCCCATCAGCAGAATGGGAGGGGGTAGAGATCAACCAAAGGATTTGTATACATGCATATTAGCATAACCATTGGACACAGACACTGGAGTGGTGGGGGCTTGCCCTCGGGAGTGGGAATTTGGGGGGAGGGGTCAAAGGGGGAAAAAGAAGACATATATAAAACTTTAGACAATAAAATAAATAAATAAAATGAAAGTGGCTGAACTTTTTAGAAGGTTTAAAGCACTGTAACATAGCCATGCTTCTCCGGGGACTACTAATGTTTATTTTTTCCCTTATAAAGAAAATCCTAGTGTAACAAACTGTTTCAAAACCAAATGTCTACTGTCAGCAAGGAAAACCACCAGGTTTTTCTTAAGTCTGCTATCTTAAAATCTTAAAATGTAGGAAGTATCCCAGAAAGCAAACATTATAAGATGGAAACAAGTAGAAACTGAGACAAGCAGCAAAACCAAACCAGTACACAACATCCAGGCTGAAGAATTGAAAACAAATGACAGAGACACAACTAAAATAAGCTCTTGACCTACAGAACTTCCATCAAATCTCCTAAAGGTGGAGCAGTGATGGCGAACCTATGACACGCGTGTCAGAGGTGACAAGCGAACTCATTTTCTTGGTTGATTTTTTTTTTGTTAAATGGCATTTAAATATATAAAATAAATATCAAAAATATAAGTCTTTGTTTTACTATGGTTGCAAATATCAAAAAATTTCTATATGTGACATGGCACCAGAGTTAAGTTAGGGTTTTTCAAAATGCTGACACGCCGAGCTTAAAAGGTTCGCCATCACGGAGGTGGAGCGTGGATGAGAGGGAGGAGAGGAAGCGCCCTGCCAGTGAGGTTGTCCAGGCCTAGAATGCTCACCCATAAATAAATTTTACGGGCAAACGTGGCCTGCAGACTTTTTGTTCGGCCTGTTGTATTTTAGCACACCTTGTTTTAAAGTTTGACAGATCTTATCTGAGGCCTACACACTGCTCAATAGCAGGGGGCCCAGTTTACCTCTTCACCGCATCCCAGGCCCCTGCTAACTGACCAACAGAAATGCTTGCTCTCTCCTTGCCCACCTTCCCGAAATTATGTTAACAGCATAATTAACAAAATTATGTTAACAGCGAGTAGCGATAAATTCACTGAGCACGTCCCCGGAGCCAGGCACCATTCTTAGCTCCAGACCTGTATTAATTCACTTTAGTCCTCAAAATCACCCTATAAAATGGGTACTTCTATTATTCTCAGATAAGAAAACTGAGGCAGAGAAAAAGAAGCAACCTGCCCAAGATTACATTGTAACTATGCCTACAGAATCTATAGGTAACTCAAGAAGGTACACTGGTTTCTTTAAGAATTTTAACTACATACCTAAATCTGTTTTCTACCTCACATCTCCAAAAAAAGGAGATAACATAAGGTTTTTATCCATTTGGTTAAAAATTTCTTTAACAAACACATCAGCCCTAGCCAGCTGGCTCAGTGGATAAAGCGTCAGCCCTCCGACTAAAGGGTCACAGGTTCGATTCCGGTCAAGAGCACCATACCTCAGTTGCAGGCTCGATACCTGGCCCTGTTCAGGGCGCATTCAGGAGGCAACCTATCGATGTGTCTCTCTCATATGGATGTTTCTCCCTCTCCCTCTCCCTTCCACTCTCTCTAAAAATCAATGGAAAAAATATCCTCGGGTGAGGATTAACACACACACACACACACACACACATCAAACTACTTCATGATACATAAGCACTGTGCCATTTATAAATACAAGACATCTCTAAATGGCTTCTATCCCGCCAGACATTCAAACAACCAGTAATATATGCTATGCAACCTGTGGCTGTATATACAGCCAATCCTGGAACAGAATTCTCTCATTTCTATCTCGTTGGGATTAACCCAGAATAAAATACCTACAGCAATGTTTTCTAAGGACTTCTTTACCGTTTGGCAACCCTCATGCATCGGAAGCAGCTGAGTTTTCTTTCTCCTAGAAATTCTGACTATGTGATCACTACCAGAGAAGAGGATTTAAGCCACAACTGCAGGAAATATGAATGGTCAACCCCAGACTTTCCCCCCTCTAGCAAAAGGAAATATAATGTGGCCCTACATTATATTGTAGGACCTTAGGAAAGATAACCAAATTATAAGAAAACAGATCATGACTGTTTCTGCGAAAGGTCAAATTAGTTTAATAGCATGGACATGAACTTAACAGCATAGAAATGAATGACTTTGTATGTGAATATGGTGTAGTAGCCAAGTGACCAGACTGGGAAAAAAAAGTGCAGAAAAGTAGACATAATAATAGTATCCCATAACTTGCAGTCCAGGGACATTACCAACAATGCATATGCTGGGAAAGCCCATTAAAAAATATTTACCACTTGGATTTGAGAGAAAAATTTTTTTCTTAAGTGTAATAACATAGCAAAAGGGAATTTTAAAACGCAAATTACACTGACATTTCTATAGATTGATACCACAAAAAGCAGCCGAAGGCCTGGAGGAAGGCAGGGAGTAAAAGATACACAAAGATTGGACACATCTGCCCAGTCTCAGGATGAAGGAGTCAGGAACGCCTGGTAAGGTCAGGCCCACCAGTCAGGGCACCTGGGTCAGGTCAAAGGAAGAGGAAAGATGTCCCATCCATCCTTTGCTTCTCATGGGGCCCAAACTGCGCTTTGCTTCTCACGACTCAACCCTTCTTTTTACTGAAAAATGTCAGAGTTGGCAGAGGATTAAAATTAATGCGAAAAAATAGTTTGGGGGCATTTTCCCTTTGAGGAAACCGAGGCAGTTTGACAATAACTGGCCTAGAGACCCACACCTCCGGGGTGATACAGAGAAAAGCATGTTCCTGGCCAAGAAAGCATTTCTCTTATAAGTCCGGTTACCTATCGTCACTATTATTGGTTTTTCTAAAACTTATTACTGTAAAAAACAAACAAAGGTGGCACTTGATGTTTACCACTCACATTACAATATGGACTTTGGGAAGTAACATAAGTCTTTCATCAGCTAAGCTAGAATCAGAGAGAGAGGGGGGAAGAGAGAGAGAGAAGTTCTCTCCACTGAAGGTAACTGACTTTCGTAAGGGAAGAACTAGAAAGGTGCACACAAGCTCCCTAGACTTGAGTCTTCTAGATAGTGACTAGATTCAGGAGAAGAGCATTGATTTGGCGTTCCCCTTGGATGAAAAGAAACTTTCACCTTGTGCCAAGATCTCCTTCTCAAAGAAAGCTCATAAATATGAAAGGCTGCCTAAGGTAATGCCTATACCAGGGGGAAAAACGAAGTTCCCATCATAAAGCCCTCTTCGGGTCCCAAACCTCCCGGCGCTGGACTCCTCCAACCTGCGACTGACCCCGGGCAGGGGCAGGGGCCGGCAGCCGCTGGGGAACAAGGAGCCTTTTGTGAAAGGCAGTGGCCAGGAAACAACACCCTCCGGAGAGTTTTCGTCCTCTCGGCGCACACACACCCCCTCTGGATACCCAGTGCCGGCGGTCACTGTCACACGCAGCCTTCCCCTCGGCGTGATGTCAAACGAAACTAACTTTTCCCCTCCCGGCCTTCCCCCTGACCTCACCACCCGGTCACCACGGGAGGTGGATTCCGGGGGGACTTCGGAACACCCGGGGTCTCTGAGCTGATTGGTTACTTTCAGGAAAAATAAAAGATTCCAAACTTCACTGCTGGATCCCCCCGTGGTGTGGCACACACGCAAATATCACCGCCTTTCCCTGCAGAAGTGTAACCCTCCCAACCTCCTAATCCGCCTGGACAAGTGACAGGCGGGGGCCGCGTTTCTCTTTAGAAAATATAAGAATAATAGTTAATATAGCTCAGAACACTCTCTAAATGCAGTTACTGTTCCAAGAATTCTCAATAC